CCCCAGAGGCTAGCACCAATCGTCGTCCTCTGTGTCACCGTAGGGTTCGTGCAGGCCCTTACGGGAACCCCTCGGATGCCCAGCCGGAGGGGGAACCTTGTGGGGCCCGGTGTGCGGGGGTCCGTGGAGGTGCGTGGACGGCGACGGGGCTCGGTAGCCRTTCGGCAGACGGCGCTGGGCGGCGGGCTGGACCTGGCTCTGCACGGGCCCGGTCAGGGCAGTGGTGGGAGGCGGTGCGTGGTGGACAGTCCTCGGTGAGGTGCGAGTGGGCTGCAGGTGGGGGTTGTTGGYGGGGTGAGGCTGTGGGGGAGGTACCGGGTAGGGGTTATGAGGCTGGGGTTGTGCGGGCGATGGCAGTGGGTGGTTGGCCAGGGCGTGGGGGTGGGGGTTTCCACCCTGCATGGGGCTCGGCTCATAGGCAGGCGGTTCGTGGTGCGGATCGTAATCYTGGTATTCCTGGTTGTAGAAGCAGCCGTCCCCTTCTATAGACCCACCRCCACTGCCCGTGTCTCCCCAGCGAGGCGGCGGGTGATGACCCTGGCGGGGGGTGGCGTGGTGGGCCATTGGGATTCCAGCAGGGGGAGGTCCCTGTCCTTGGAAAGGCTCTGGGGAAAAGTGCCGAGGGACTGGGGCTGGGGGTCTGCTTTGAGGTCCCCCAGGAGGAATAGGTACGGGTTTACGGACTACAGGGGAGTATGTGACATGGGGCCGGGGGGTGGCAGGTGTCTGAGGCAGCTGTCGGCGGCCTCTACGTGGCGTACTGGTCCCAGAGGTTGATGGGACAGGACTTCCGCTGACCGAACTACTGCCCTACACAAAAAGTGAAATAAAGCAAATAAAAAGAACGAACCACAAATTTAACGACAAAACATGTAGAATAATAAAAAGAGGATGGCAAAGACAAGAAGAGCATGAAACAGACAGTGAGAGAGAGAGAGAGACAATGCAAGGAAGAGAAGAAGATCCGAGGAGACAAGAACAAGAATCAGAGCAACAATAAGAAGACAAGCACCAGTTTAATGTTCATGAAACAGCAGCAGAGAGGTGGGGAAACAGGAGCAGGAGATGTGGATAAAAATGGATGGAATTCCAAACAGCACCATACAAAGAGAAGCAACACGTCACGCAAAAAAAGAAAATAAAATAAAAGACGACAGGAGGGGAAAAAAGGTTTAAGTGTTGATTTTCAGGCCAGGGTAAAAACATCAACCAAACACTGAAATAACTGTGTGGAATTTAKTAAATGTATCAAGACATTAAAGTAATACTTAGTAAAATAAAAGACAAAACTTTAACCTGGTAACTTTTTTTCAATGAAAAAATAAGTTACTTGCAAGCTGTTTGTTCAAAATTAAACTTTAAAGGGACAGTTCAGCTCCTCTGAACTATATACAGTATAAAAAAACTTGGAACAATAAGTATCTTACCTGTTGTAGATAGAACTTTGAACAAATTGGCCAATCTACTTTGGTTGTGACCCTGTTTGAACTAGCCATTATCTCATCAATCTGGTCGAATTTAAAACATTTCTCCAAACTGGGGTTGTTTAAAAAGYCATCTACAWCAGGTAAGATAATAATTGTTTATCRGTTTTTCYAGAAATCCTCACTTCAAAASACCTGAATAGCAGTTTTAGGGCATAATCTTTTTGTTCTCTCTTTCAATTTTTTTAATTTGAAATCTTAATTGGGATTRTGTTTAACATTTTATTTTTAGGTAAATAGTTTGAAAAGGGATATCCTGAAAGAGAAACCCAGTGGTGGGACACAACAGAACACAGGTAAGAATAAAACATTTAGACAAATATACATTTTTTATGCATATTTGTTTGGATGTTGGTGATCTGAACAAAGTGAACTCAATAAATAAACATGTTTTTATCAAAACAATTTAAAGCATTTCTTAGTGTTTTGGACAACTATATTTTCTGTTAAACACTATTAGACACAATTTAAATCTCACACTTTATGACCCAGGAGCCCACCTGTCTGTGTGTGATGCACTCGCGGCCCTCACTGGGTGATCGGGACCAGCGCCTGTCCCTCTCTCTGTCCCGGTCGTGCTCTCGGTCCCGGTCGTGGTCCCGGTCGTGCTCTCGGTCCCGGTCRTGCTCTCGGTCCCGGTCGTGCTCTCGGTCCCGGGAGTGCCGGTGTCCGTACTCGCCTCCTCTCTCTGCGATGTAGCGCTCCTTCTCAATGGAGCCGTGGTGATGGTGATGGTGGTGGTGATGCTTACGGTCTTTGGAGCGACCCCGATCCTTCTCTTTCGAAGTGAGGTCACCCGACTGGTCYGGGCCCAGGCCTGATAAGGGAGTTAGGGTGGGGCGGGGTTTAAACACCTGACTGCCCACGACACAACACATTGCACAGCTTCAGGGGATAATCGTGTTTGTTTTTGTTCCTCTCACCTGCGTCAGCCTCGTTGTAGCGACACAGGGACCTCTCAGACGCCCGATGACTCCGGTCCTTTCGRCGGTGTCCGTGTCTGGAAGATCGGCCCTCCTCAGGTATGGCACACTCCATGTTGTAATCATCGACCCCTCCTTTGTCTCTGTGGCCACGCCCCGACCTGCTGTGGCCCAGAGATGAGGCGGACCGTTTCATGGGACTGCTGTCGCTGATGGTCTGAGAAAGAACGAGAAACACCACCACAAGATGAAGGGAGAGCTGTTTATTTATTATTTTGAGTTGTTGTTGCTGTTGAAGCTCTGAGAAAGGAGAATGTGTATCTGTGAATGTGTTGTTTCTTTGCTAACCCTCAACTGAACCTTCSACAAAAATTCAAAAATCACCCATTTCCACAACTAAAAATAAAAGCTCCAAAAATAAAAGTGGAAAACTGCTACGCATTATATCTATAATTTATAGGGCAAGGTTCAGGAAAAAAAAATCAATATTCCAAGACGGCTTCTACTATCAAATATTTTAAATTTTAATAGATCCATTGGGTTTAGAATTAAAAATAAAAACTGCACATGAAAAAAGCAACCTAATTCACCATTCTAATTTTAAAATGCTGAAATAAGATAAAAAATAAAAATCAATGTGGGGGCCACCAAAGGTCACTAGAGGGACATCAGAAAGCTGGAGGGAAGTTTGTTCAAAAGTTGTTTTTTCAGCAGAAATATAATACAGTGTTAAAAACATGTTAGTTAAAACAATTCTTCTGCTAAACAAATGTAATAATTATTGAATAGTGAATAAAATTGAGAAAAAAATTAAAAGTTGATCTTTCTTTACATATTTTGTAGCATTTTACGTGGGTTTTCAAGGGGGTCTATGGCCAGAAGCTAATCCCGTTTGGGGGCCATGGCATGGAAAAGTTTGGGAAACTTCAAATGTATAGGAGGAAAGAAAGAAATAAGAAAAATATCCTTATTTTAAGTTGAACAGAGGAACTTAAATGTAAAAATTTAAATGTTTGTAAAGCATTTAAATAATTGTGATGCAGATTAAAAAGGTAAAAGGAGAAGTTGGTTGTCTAATGATGACAGCCATATAG